AGCATATAATTGTTAAAGAGAATCTCCTTTAGAATATATTGATCGTTCAGTTTCTAATATCAGTAAATGCTTATATCGAAATTCATCTCAGATGGATTATTTGATTGAACAATTAGATGCGCTCACTCTACAGAAAACCCAATCTGAGAAAAAAATTGTAAAAGAGCCGTCGTCGACCTCAAAAAAAACTTCAACACATAAAAATATTGAACAAATCAAATCGTCATACAAGTTAAATGATAATCTTTCTTATTCAGATGAAGCAGCCAAGATAGCAACAGATTATTTCAATAAGGAACATGCCTTCAACAAATTGAAAGATGTAAATAAATTCAAAAGAAAAAACCCAGTCAATAATTTATTCGATCCTGAAATGAGTCTTGGTAATTATTAATTTTATTTGTTTATTTGCTCATTTATCTTATTTAACTTGACCTTATTTGATTTATTATTATTCATGTATTTCATTATTAAAGAATTACCTAGTTCTATAATTATTCCAAAAAGATTAGTTGCACAAGAACCAGAATTTTTTTATGGTAATGATGGTGATGACGGTGACAACGATTATGAAGAAGACGATGATGATGACATTGCCAAACTTCTAATTACTAAATCTGGCAGGTTAACGACAGTTCTTTGAAGGAATTTTTCATTTGCCAAATCATCAAATTTAACGTTAAGACCTTCCTCTAGAAGTATTTGGGTTCTACTATCACGACACCAAATGGAGACATCAATTTCTTTTACGATAAAATCTACAAAAACCACATCTGGATACAAAGGAGCCGCAAAATCGGCAGGCAGCGCATTTTCATCATCAATATAATGATAAACAAATGATTCTGCAAATGAGCCAGCACTTATTAAAAACGATGGTTTTAATTGTCCAGATATAGTGTCAATGTTTATATCCCAGTTACAAACATATGTTGCTGTTTCTGGTAACGGTCCAAATAATCGATGAGCATATATGTTTAAATCTAGATTAAAAATATATGATAAATATTATTTTAATATAATTAGAAAAATTGTTATTATTATTATTATTATTATACCATTTATAAATAAATAATTATCAGATTCTTTTAATGGTTTTGGTGGTTTTGATCTTGAATTGGTTTTAGTATTAACATTCTCAGGACATAGAGTCCATGTTAATGGACTAACAGTAATATCCATATCTAAATATATATACATATATTAACAATTACATTAAATTAAAGAATAATGACCAAGTTTTTTTGATAAACATGTACACTGACCCATATAAATATCTAAATTTCTTAAATCAAGTTGTAATTCATGAAATTGTATTACCGATTTCTTTTGAGCGTCATATAAATTCTCTGGAAGATATAAAGTACCATTTTCAATAATAATGGCCATATAAACTTCGAATGGGTCTGCTAGTGGCTTTAAATATAAAATTTAATAAGTAAATATATGAACAAATATATGAACAAATATATGAATGAATAACATGGATATGAATAATATTACTTTTATATATTCTAAATGATTTTTTTGCTTTTTTGAGTCATTATATTCATCTAATGTCATGAAATTTATAAATGCTCCAAAATAATTTGCTTGAAGAATTAAAAAATATCGAATTACAAAACCAAATAGTTTTAAGCTAACGTCATTTCCCTGAAAAGCCCATTATGATAGTTATTTATAATATTATTAACAAATTACAGGTAGTAATAAATAACAAATAATAAATATACCTTCATCATTAATGCTAAGGATTCAACATGATTTGGATCTACAGTATTATAATATTGGTAGGAACCTTCAACTGTAAAGAATCTGACTTGCCCAAATTTTTTAGCATCCTCTGACAAAAAAGCACCAAGTGTTTGTGATACTTTAGGTGATGTAGTGGTTGTAGCCTTTGTTACCTTATAATAATGATGATAATGATTGTGATTTTAATAATCAGATAATTGGATAAGTGAATAATATAAAAAATAATACGTGTGCATATAATATATTTCATTTTTTAATTAAAACAAACCTCTAAACC